TCTCAGTTGATTTATTTTATTTTTAATTAGATTCGTCGGTTTAAAACGTGGTGTGAATTCCAATATTTGTGAGGTTTCTACGAATTGCCTCTGATGTACCATTTTCGTATGGTATTGTGATCGTTTTTGCAACCCTCCTTCTTGTCATTCTCTGGTTTTACCCGCTTTTTTCTCTTCTTTATATATTATAGTTGATTAATTCTTTCGGGTAGTTGTTGTCGAGAAACATTTTGAATAGGACATTTATTTCTTTACGCTGGTCCTCTGGTGTTGTTGTAAATCTATGTATTCTATCTGCAAGACCTTGTATTAATCCTCTTTCTATCGTGAGTGGACGAGCTGAATGATAATCAAGGAATCTTCCAGTGTGTGTAGTTTTTCTATATAGAGTCGTTTTTATGCTACTATCTGTTACTCTTTGTATTTTGCAGTCTAACATAGGCAGTTCCCCAATTTCATTCTCTATTTCCAAAGTGAATTTTATTCAGTCAACATGACTGTTTATGTGTGTCTGAGAAGAATTTTTCAACATCGTTTTTTTCACTATTACTAGTGTGTCGTCTACATATCTCCAGCAAAATTTTATTGATGACCCGAATGGTTTTAGTGCATTCTCTTCCCGAAAATCCATGAATATGTCAGCTATTATAGGTGAGATAGTCGATCCCATAGCTACTTCTCCTTCATTTTGTTGGTATATTTTTCCTTCAAATGTAAAATATGTTGTTGTCAGACAGAATTCCACCCCGTTTATCGTCATCTCTTCTACAGATAACTGTGTTCTGTCTTTTTAGGCCATTATCTTCTTTTAGTCACGTTTTCAGTGCATTCATGGCCATTTGAATAGGTATTTTAGTATAGAGACTGTTTACATCAAAGCTGACTAGTATTTCCTCTTCCTCTATTTTAGTAGTTTTTAGTCGTCTCACTAATTCAATTGAATCTACTTTTCTAGCTTTTGAATTGTTTCCTGTTGGTCTTAGTAGTGTTGACAGAAATCTTGACAACATATACGTTGGTGTGTTTCTAAAATCTACAATCCGACTTGTCTACAAATCGGTATGATTCTTATCAAATTACATTCCTCAATTGTTTATTTCTGTTCTAAAACTTGGCTTTGTTATTACCTCCATTCCCTTGGGTATCGAGTGGAAAATAGGGAGGGCTTCAGCATAACATCTTCATGTTATCAAGTTCTCTGCAGTACTCTTTAGATGGATCCACATCTGCCTTTAAACTCTCCTCTGATAATCTCTTCCCTGTCAATCTCGGACCCGAGAACATTGTGAGAGATGTCATTCAGTGGTCTTCTGTAGTCATCGTCTCTCTCGACGGGAAATTTTAGCTCACGTAGAGTCAGACTGGAAAAGAGCTAGCGGCGGTCAAACCAAAACATGTCTTCAACAGTCAATGAAATCCACAACAGTTAGATTAAGCCAGCCAGTCACGTAGGAAGATGTAGACCTCTAGACTGGACGGTAGACACCAATGAGGGCTTGAGACAATTGGTGATATGGCTTAAAATCCTCGTTCTCAATGAATAGCTCAGATGCATCCACTGCTTGTGACTTGTATTTTCCAATGAAACTACATTGTTCTTCGATATTACTATTCCTTTTATCTCATATCCCTGTCTACTGTCATTATTTTGCATTTCTTCTACTTTCTCCTCTTGCTTTGCGTGCCACATCGAGGGAGAGTGGTGAATTGAACTGCTGCACATCGATGCAAAGTTCTGTGTTGAATACAGACAAATAGACAGATGGTCTTCTCAGTATATGTATCTGATTCATCTCATTTTTCTACGACATACTTCTTGAGCAGTAGCTCCTTGGTTGGTTTGTTCCCAGACTGTCTTGTTGCTGATCCTCAGTTTTAACAGAAATCTGAAGCGTGTTGGAAATGCTTTTCATAACACGCAACATCTCTGAGCAATATAGAAGAACTGACTGACTTCACATTAGTGTTGAAAATTCGAATCTTGTTCCTTATGCTGGCTGAGTGCAGAGTGAAAGATTTCCAAACTAGTTTCAGGTTGATGAAGGCGCATCCTTGCTTTCCGATTCTGGCTGGCTGGCTGGCTTTGATATCTTCATCCTTTCCGAATTCCTGTGGTTAAAACGATGTCTCCTAGATAAGTGAATGAAGTAACCTCATTCAAATCTCTGCCGTTGATGGTGTCTGGTGCCAGTTGGTTAGTTATCTTCATCACCTTAGTCTTCTCAATATTCACCTGCAGTCCTATCTTCACTGGCTGCTTCTTCAGCCAGTTTGTTGGTTTTCGCCTGTCTGTATTTCTTCGCGTTTATGTGACACTATACAAATACATCATCTGCGAAATCCAGATCTTCTATAGTCTTCTTAACAGTGGTCCCACGTATTCCTTTCTCCTCGCTCCTCACCTACAGTCTGACGCATAATCCAGTCTACCACAATTAAGAATATCATCAGTGATAATAGATAGTCAGTCTTGGCTTACTCCTGTATTCATGTCAAACGCTTCGCTGAGTTTCCCCTTGTGGATCACCTGACAAGTGGCACTGTCATATAGCCAGCTGTTGAATGAGATTGTTAAAGACTTGGACACTGAATGTCATAGTGTTGAAGTAGTTTCCAAATTAATTCGCGATCAATATCGTCTGTCGAAAACTTTTTCGAAGTCGATGAAGATGTTTGGAATCCATAATTTTTGTAATATGGTATGTATATTTGACACCAGTCACCTTTGTTACCGGGAATTATAATCATTAACAGACGGTGTGAACTGACAAAGAATATCAAGGGGAGAGTTATTCATGACAGATGGATTCAGAAATGTATCTTTCTGAAAATTTACAAATATTTTTTGAAAAAATATTGTATCACTGCTTCAAAATGCATCCACTTTGAGACAGACATTCCTCGATTGACACTCACTGTATATCGATTGTTCTGACTAATCTTTGTTGAAGAATTAGATCAAGTTTAGTTAGAACTCAGCTATCAGGAAGAGAATCTTCCTAAATCAAGATTAACCAGTGCATCGGGTGGAATTTGGACTCAGAAGCCACTGTGCATTAGGCAATTACTAAGATCAGTGAGCCATATCATCTTTTTCGATGGCACAGTTTAACATATCACAGTATATACATAATACGTCATAGGAATTAGTAAAAAGACGGTTGCAGTGAAGAAAATTTCCTTTCCGACGAAGTCATCATTAATTAGGCTGTACGTTCATGTCTTTCTAGAGTAAATGGATGAGATAGTTCCGGAACAATTTCTGGTCGGTCAAGAGTCAAATCAATAAAATTACAAAGTGCAATAAACAGCAGGATCGGATAAAAAGACAGTGGGATCACAATTGCCGGGGATTAAAGATGTAGTGACAACAAAATAGGCCGGATGTTGGGGTAGAAAACATAGTAGTGCCGATTATTATTATTTCTATCGTCTCCTTTAGTCCCTAGAAGAACTGAGAGCTTCAGACGCATGTCTCTATTGCACTCCCTTCTCCGCCAACCTACTCACCTGGCTTCACCACTTCCCAAATGTTTTCATCTCCTCTTCGCATCACATCCTCCATGTCACCCTCACACTGATGAGCGACTCACCACCTCTCATCCCGATTCCTCCAGAGCCATAGCCTGACGTGTGATGTCACTCCCTTAATGGTTTGTTTTCTCAGAGTATGACCAGCCAATCCACCTCCATTTCCTCCTTAATATTTCTTGCACAATTGGTTTCTGCTGAGTTGGTTCCCTACCAGATATCCCTCACTATTGTTGATCTTTTCTGGCCATCTGATCTTGAGTGAAGTATTGAGCGAAGACAGCTGCTAATGAAGGTTTGTAGTTTTGCTTGAAGTGCCATTCGTGACACGACGCGACGCCAAGTCTCTGATCCGTGTAGTAGCACTGACTGACTTCACATTGGAGTTGAAAACTCGGACCTTATTTTTCGTGCTGTGTGCTGCTGACCTCCACACAAACTTGAGAGTGATGACAGCTTGCCTTGCTTTCCCGATCCTAACTTTGATATTTTCGTCAGTTCCGTCCGCCTGCAGTTGAAACGATGATGTTTCCCAGGTAGGTAAATGAGGCTGTTCCTTTCACATTTCTTCCATTTATGCTGATTGTTTTTCGTTGTAATTGTTGTTGCTGTTGATGTTGGCCACGAATCTTCATCACCTCTGTTTTCTCTATGTTCACCTGAAGGAAGTCCTATCTTCACTGGATGCTTCTTCTGCCAGCTTGTTGCTCTTCACTTGCATATCTTCCAGTTTGTGGGAAATCAGACATATATCATCGGGGAAGTCCATATTCTCCAAGTTTTTTGTGTGGGTTCATTTTATGCCTATCTCTTTGTTGCCCGACCCGCTGTCTTTCGCATTATCCAGTCTACCAAAATCAGGAAATCAATCATTGGAGATAGTAGGCAGGAAGCCAGTTAGCCAGCTTGTTTTACTCCCGTCTTCACTTCTTCGAAGGATTCTGTGAGTTTCCCGTTGTGAATTACTTGGCAAGCAGAGCTGTCGTACAACTGTTGGATGAGATATATAATTGTTGACGGCACCCCTTAGTAGCGAAGTAATTACCAAATCACCTCCCCATCGACGCTGTAGAAGACTCTCTCAAAGTCGATGGAGTTGAGATAGACAGCTGACTGTCATTCTGAGCTCTGTTCATCAATTAGGAAAAGATTCAAAATTATTAATTCTATCCTCGAATGATATATTAGTCAAACCAGAAGTCATACATTTTACTTTCCTTTGGACCCTTTCTGAAATATATGAGTTCTCTTAAGACCACAAATTGCGGCCTGGGTTCAGTTTTCTGATTTTTGATCTCACCTGAGCTAACTCTGCTAATCATACTGGAAAGAATTCCTGAGAAGGGTGTTATATCAACAGTAAGCTGTGATTTATTTATAAGATACAAAAATTAGAGTATGTTTCACATTGAATAGGTTCACCTGTAGGCATAAATTAATTCATATAACCTCTTTATTTTGACTTTCAGACCACCTAAACAAATTAGTTATGAAATTATGCTTGGTATAGCTCAACAAACACTTCGTAGACATGCATTTGAAGATTTCTCCAGTCTACTGTTAGCCTGTCGTCAACAAGATTCAGAGAAAACCGGTGAAATTGATCGTCAAACACTAAGACGTATATGTTTGGCACATCGACTACCGTTACCTGATGATATGGTGAATTCTATTATGGATTAGTAAGTTGTATTGTACATATGATGATTGTTAAAACTATTCCCTTTTTATGAAAAATATGATGAGGTTTTAGAATATTTCTCGGCGATTTAGAAGAGAGTAAAAAATAAATCTGGGTGTAAATCTCATGTTTGCAATTAGATTTGAGAAATGCAGACTATTTGCGAACATAACTATTGACTACTTGTTGAATGGTGACCAACAGCAGAATCCCTGATCAGCAATTCGTCCTATTTAGAACTCATCAACTGTGATTGTTCTTGCTGTCGAGTAAGGAGATATTGTCACCCGTGAGACAGTACTCATAGCTACAAGAAAATTGAAGTTTTCAGTCTAGCAACTGTGGAGAATAGACACCCCAGTCGAATGACCTCAATCCAGCCAATCAGATAACTCAGAACTACAAATGGACGCTGTTCATTATCTTCGTTGCAAGTTTTACCCAGATTTCGTTTTGGACTACTCTGTGTGAAAAACAGGTTGGCTGATAGGCAGGACTAAACTATTCATATGTGGTGGATGGAGAATGACTCTTTAGAAATATTGCCACGCTGTTCATGGTTATGTAATCAGGTGAAATCATTGTCATAACAGGAAGTCTGTAAGAGTCAGTAAGTCGTACATCATGGTGAGTTGTTTTAGATACTTTCTTCGTCAAATCGAAACTCTCCCACACTACAATATTGTGTATATACCACAACTGGCTACTGAAACGACCAGTATCTGCAACAGCTGAGAAGACAGAGAATACTTAAATGTCAACAGTACAGTGATAACAGCAGCAATGTCGGGTGGAATATTGTCTCAAAGAAGATCAATGGAACTACTTGTATACTGGGAGGAATTGTTGTCGTCGTTCATACTGTTATGAAACAGCGTACTTATTAAACGAAAAATTAATCGCCCCGGTGGGAAAAGAGCAAACCAAGTTTGCATGCTGGGACTGTGTGATGCAAATCTTCGAAAAGGTTTTGTAGAATACATCCAACCCAAATAGAAGTGGCGATGTTTTAATACCTATAATACGGTGACTAATCCTCCCAGGCCAAGCACTATCATTCACACGGACGACGAGTGTAACGGTTACTCGCAACTATCATCGCTAAGCTATATTCATCATAAAGTCAATCCTATAAGTGGAACTCATACAAATTGCATTGAAGGATTCTGGGACCATGTAAAAAAGCGTATTAAAATATTAAATGATTCCCGATATGATATACAGCTACAGAAATTATATCCGGTGAGGGAACTGAATCATAGGTGTGAATACATAAAATAACCATAACAGTATGAAATGCAATTAAAACTAAGATATTTGTGACTATAATCATAGTTAAATGTCAAATGGCAAAACAATTAATGTCACAATAGAATAAGACATAGGATGTATAGAACTTGGAAGGGGTATGAAATTGTAGGATTAGTAGGCAAATCGAATAAAATAAAAACGTTGCGTAACATTGAGTGAAATTTGATAACGTAGAATTTAACGCCTTGGCTTTGGAAACTATGGGAACTAGGTTCGAGCCTCGGTGGGAACCTCATCACTCACTGCGGAATACGGATATATCCGCTGGATGACGAGTCCCAAATAGGACGAAATGTGCATACTGGATTCCAGTGCTAGTCACCATCCACCAATTAAATTCTAATATATACAGAATAAAGGCTACTTTTCACCTAGACGAATCTGATTGGTTGGTTCAGTGTTATTTGACTTTGGTGTCTATTCTTACTGTTACCTTTAATCTTTGTACTATCGAGAATTCCATCCAAGGAGTCTATTGACTTGAACTAAAGTTTATCAGTACGGTTAGATTTTTCAACTGAAACATGATCGAATCATGAAGACATATCTGTTGGTCTGAATTATTCAGGGAAATTTAAATTCATGAAAAATTCCCATTCGAACATTAATAGACAGAAGACAAGTAGTTCAGCGAAGACTCTCTTTTCGGCGAATTCATTTTCATAGCTGTACAATCGCCGAAATTTAAATTGTTTGACTCGGAATGATTTGATTTTGCTCATTAAAATCCATGGTGTTAAGATTCTAGGTTGATGAAGGTGATAATCTAGGAGCGTTGTATTACACGTACACACACACACACATCTATACAAAGATCTGGGAACTGTTGTCTAATACAAATCCGCTCATACACACATACATGTGTACACCTCTAATTATGAGTTTACATCAGTTAGAGAACTACTAGAAACACCCCCGCCCTCGGGGAGTACTGGATAGCTGTTTCGTCCTAGTATGAGATTCTTCAACATCATATATCTACCGGACCTTGAACCCAGGATCATCTGGTTACAAGGCAAGTTCGTAGATCACTCAGCCAATCGGATGCGATCTAATGGCCAGCTCATGAATTCCATTTTCTGCCAATTAGCGGTATACCTCCAGCTAATGTCACAAACGAGTAGAGTAAGTGATTGCTTAACTTACTTTGGTTGTTTGATAGTCATAATATTTATCAAATGAAGACACAGAAGTGTTAATTCTGGGATTCTAAAAAAAGGATCAATAGTCTTTATTGTTATTATTATTATTTATAATAATATTCCCTTTGGTTTCAAGTAAAACATAGGGCTTCAGTGGCACATCTCTACTTTAACCTGTTTTCTGCTATCTTTCCTCACCACACAACCTTCCTCTGTGTCACCCTCACGTATTTGTCCAGCTCTTCATCCCCGATTCAGATTCAGGTTAGGACGACCTGACACCTAACTTCATTCAAAGGTCTTTTCAGTGTATAATAATTCTTAACTGTTAATAAAGTCAAATGAACTGTCGTCTGTCAAGATTTGACAGAATAGTCCTAAAATATTTGGGTGCCGAGTGAGAAGTAGACATTTTTGTCAACAACAAAAAAATTATATGTTAATTTCGATTAATTTCCCTGAAGAAGTTCGAACCAGATTGCCGAATGAAACGTTGTAATTACTCATTTCAATCTCGCTGAGATTTTACAAATATAGTTTTTTACAAATGTGTTAATAAAGTCCTTTCATTGATTTGAAGATTCGACTTCTTCAGCAGACAACATCACCCAGGGAATCATTAAAAACCAGATAAACACTGGCTTGAAAGTAGATTCTTAACTGACTGATAAAATTTAGCGTCCTTTGATGTCACAGCATTATATACTTCAATTAGTCCAAAACTAGCAACAGAAACTATGCAACAATTACTCTATAGTGATGAAAACACAAAAACGCAATTATCAACTTGGATAGAACTCATAAAATTATGCCTTACAACATAGTTCCAGTTCAATACTCAAATATATGAACAAATAAAAGGAACACCAATGGGATCGCCCATATCAGGATTAATAGCTGAAGCCGTTATGCAAAGATTAGAATTAATAGCTCTATCTATAATTAAACCGAAAATCTGGATACGTTACGTTGATGATACATTTGTAATAATTAAGAGAAGTGATTTAGAATATACTCATAAATTAATAAACAACATATTTGAAGACATCAAATTCACAAGAGAAGAAGAACTAGAAAACAAAATCCCATTTTTAGATGTCTTAATCAAGAGAACCAACACAGGAGATTTAGAGACACAAATATATAGAAAATCATCGCACACAGATCAAATACTCAACTATACTAGCAATAATCCAGTTACTCACAAAAGAAACTGTGTGCAGACATTGTTTAAAAGAGTTCAAACGCATTGTAGCACTCCAGAGTTGAAAAGAATGGAAGAAAAATACCTACAAACGGTCTTCAAAAGGAATGGTTATCCTCCTAACAATTTCATCAAAAAGTGTTTAAAATCGAATCAAAACACCAACAAGAAACCATCATCAAAGACCACAAGAAAATTCATTCTACCATACATGAGAAATATCTCTGAAATAACAGCTAGAATACTGAAGCCGTTTGATATAGATATAGCACACAAGCCAGTCAAATCGCTTAATTCGATATTATGCAAACCAGAAGATCCAACAGAAAAAGGAGATAAAATTAATACCATTTACAAAATAAATCGTATGAACTGCAACAAGCATTACATCGGCCAAAGTGGGCGTCCCCTTCGAATTAGAATCCAAGAACACAAATCAGCCGTGAAAAGGCACGATATGTATTCTTTAGTATCAATGCATATAGACAATTATGGTCATCAATTTGATTGGGATAATGTCAAAATATTAGACAGGGGAAACACCAAAAGTGCAGTCAGGGAATTCCTAGAAGCCTGGTACTCAAACGAAAATGTAATTAACAAGCACATTAATATAGACGAAATATACCAACTAATAAAAAGTAAATCAGGTGACCAGAAAGTTTAAGATCCAAGTCAATAGGAAATGGTCAAAACATATGTAAAGATGGTTACCAGGAGACGCATTATTATATCACTCATGAAGAAATTTAAATCATTTCACTTTATGCTAAATATTGTGCTGAAAGGGGATGTTGTCCAGAAGGACGACGAAAGCTCCGCAACTAAACTAACCATTTCAGAGAACACTATTAATCGCAAGTCTACATCAAACAAAGGACTAGACATGTTACACTAATTCCTAACTAGTGTGCCATCAAAGTATCCAATACAGTCCTACCAAAAGGAGGTCAATCACTAGCCTGAATAGCCAGCTCAGTGGTAACGTCTGTGACCGCAGCATGGGGTAACATGGATTTGAATCTCAGAAGGGACATTAGCTGTTCCTTCAAGATTGCAAATACACTCCTTGCTGACTGACTGATGAGTGCCAACAAACACAAAACCCAGGTGGAAGGCTTCCTGTGGCCTATTGCCTCTAACAATTCAAATTGCACTGTGATGGCGAGCCATCAAGTGTGATGGTGGCCACATTGCAAACTTCACTGACTACAGAACTCAGTTACTAACTAGTGTTTCCGGTCAAACGATTCTTAAAGACACCAGTTTATGGAGGTGGCACTTGGATTCCAAGCGCTAGAAATTAAAATTCATGGGCCAGTGAATTTTAATCTAATAAGTGAA